TCCTTGAATTCTTTTATTTCGGCAATTTAAATTATATTATTCATAAAAATATTATATTTCTTTTAAAACAATTAATTTTAAGCTAAATTCATAGAATTTTTTATTCATTTTATTATAATTTCTATACAAATTTTTAAAAGAAGATTTTATTTAAATAATTCATAGACTGTTATATTTTTAAACATTTTTAAAAAGTAAGATTTTTTTATAGTAAAACAACATTTTTAAAAGCTAAAATTTCTAAACTTTAGAAGCCAGGTGCCTAGAAAGCAGCTGGCAAGATGGGCAAATTGTTGTCAAAGATTTTTGGCAACAAGGAGATGCGAATTTTGATGCTAGGATTGGATGCTGCTGGGAAAACTAGTATCCTTGATATATATTTAAAAAAATTTTTTTTATTTTGTAAATTTTATTTTGAAATTTTGTAAAAAAAATCTCTAAAATTATGTTATATTTTTTTAAATATAGTAGTTTTCATCAACATTTCCTTAATTACATATCAGCAATACTATATAAACTTAAACTAGGACAGTCTGTAACAACTATACCAACTGTAGGATTCAATGTAGAAACAGTTACCTATAAAAATGTTAAGTTCAATGTTTGGGTAAGTAATAATATTAACATTTGTAGTAATAATAACATTGTAGTAATAATACATGGGTAATAATAACATTAATATTTGTTGTTGTAACATTTGTAACAACAATAATAATATTTGTATAGAAAATGTTTATAATAATTATTATATCATTGTAGGATGTTGGAGGCCAGGACAAAATACGTCCACTTTGGCGTCATTATTATACTGGAACTCAAGGACTTATTTTTGTAGTAGATTGTGCTGACAGAGATCGAATAGATGAAGCACGTCAAGAGCTTCATCGAATTATAAATGATAGAGAAATGCGAGATGCTATTATATTAATCTTTGCAAATAAACAAGATCTTCCAGATGGTATAAATCTAAATATAATTATAATGATTTGATAATCATTATACAAATATGTATATAAATAAATAAACTATTATCTTTTTTAGCAATGAAACCACATGAAATACAAGAAAAATTGGGTTTAACTAGGATACGAGATAGAAATTGGTATGTTCAGCCATCATGTGCCACAACTGGAGATGGGCTTTATGAAGGCCTTACATGGTTGACCAGTAATCATAAATTATGAGCAAATATTTATTTTTCATCAATTAGCCACATACCAAGAATGTACGTTTGCTTTGTATTTTCATTTTTATTCATCATATAGAGGCTTTATAACGTAATTAATAACAATCATTATGATCTATAAGAGAGAAAGAAAGGGAGAAAAAATAATTTCAAGTGTACTGCAGCAAACGTAGAGCAACTATTGATATCAGATGATGCGTTTCAGCATATTAATATTATATAGATAGAAAATTATTAAAGTATCAAAAGATATAGATTTTGTTACTAACTGTCTTCTAAAATTCGAAAAATGAATACATCAATATTTTTTTAATTAGATTATTATGTTAAACATTTTATTATAATTTATAGATTTATAGTTTATATATTACATTATGGATGCTAATTTCAAAAGTATATAAAAAATTATAAAAACTATTAATTTAAAATATTATCCAGAAAATTTAAATATAAAAATTCATTCTTTACTGATTGCATTAATACTACATAATATGTATTACATATAATATTAATATATAGTCTCACAAATATATGTGATTTAAAGCACTTAATAACTTCATACAATATGAAAATATTCATTGATAAGTTTTTGCCATCAATTTTATTCTTCATTCAAAAACATTCATGGTGTCGTTTTATTTCCGTATTTTTAATAATTGTCTTCCAGTTTTTGAGTGAAA